CAAACACATCAGTTGGAAGTATCGATCCGAGACCTGGGTAGCATTTGCTTGCATCATAGACTATGCGACAGTATGTATTACCATAGATTTCTTCAAAATCATCGTAATCGATATTTTCTTCAATTGATTTCAATTCACGACTGAGTTCGCTTCCAGATAGTTTACTACGTTTACGACCCTGGGACGGTTCTTCCACAGGTCTGGGAACTATGTTATCAAATGGGTCAGTCCCTTTTGTTTTAGTCCCTACCTCAAGCACTTTAGCTAGTCGCTCCTTTGTATCAAGTGCCTCTTTTCTCTCCTCGTAGAAAAATCCTGCAATTGCAGACCTTAAAGTGATCCCATGTTCCACAGTCTCAGGATCGTTAATAACGTAGTAGTTTATTACCATACTTCCGTCGTTTGCAATATTATACCTGAAAAATCCAGAAAAAGATTGATGGTCTGAAATGAATACCCTATCTGTTCCACAGAGGAAAGCTTGATAAATATACTTCCTTAGCACCAAAGCGCATACCACTCTGGGAGTCCATTCTCGGTCTTGAAATATAGTATGCGTCGAGTGCAGTCTCAAGTTTCTCTGGTCTGATAAGCTCTTATTATATTCTTTTAACGTTGCTTTCAATTCTTCAAACCCTCGTGCTGGATAATAATTCTTCTTTTTGTATTCACCTATTCCAAAGCAGACTTCGGGATACCGCCGATTAGGAGACAGATCGGACATCGCAAGATGAATGACATCCGGCTTTATTATACGTCTTCTGTCTAAAGGAGGTCTTACAATAGATGGCCTCCCAAAATAGTGATCCATACCACTAATGTCGCAAAAAAAGTAATGTAGCGTTCGAGCTATTTCTGTTTCAAAATATTCCTGAATATCACCTTCCACATTTGTAGCACCGAATGGATATCTATACGTCTGTGATAACAATGGAGCTTTGATATCAGAACCCTTAAGAGCATTGTCAAGTGGAGCGAGGTAGCTAGTTTTGAATTCATCAGAATTCATCTCCTTGAAGTCTGCTGTAGTCATTAGATTAGTTACAAAATTAAGGAGTGGTATGGATGCTCTTGTTTCAACCGATACTGACGCATCACTCTTGGGTACTATTCTTTCTATTTTCTCCAGAGATAGTTCATCTTCTGGTATATAACTACGGATCCTTAATAAATGAGTGTCTAATAAGACTCGGGCATTTTGCTCATTATCATTCTGTACCTTTGTAAAAAGTGCTGGATTTATCCTGATGCACTCACTGGCAGGATCATCGAAAGCTATTTCCTTGCTCTCTTCCCCTGAGAAATACATACATGGCATACTAAGAGATAGTTATCTATACTATTTTTTGATTTGAGATTGATTTTATCTATGTCCTGTACATAGAATGAATTATGTAATTCATGTTGAATTTGACTATAAAATGAAGAATATTTCGACGTCAAATTTCTCCCATTCATTGAAGTCCTGATTCCTGGCGAACTGCTTATATGGTCGACAAGTTACATATAATAAATTTTATTATTTTCTATCTTTCTTTAATAACTACAGCCTACAACTTATACTTTTATGATGTTTGGATTATTAATCCATTAGTTTTGCTTTACATGTTTGTCAATAGCTTTATCGTCTGAAGAGCAGGCCTATGAAATTACTAACTTCTCAGACGTCTCCATGACAAAATTTAAGTCTACATACGTCTCTCTCTTATTCATATATCGACTTAGATAAATATGAAGGTAACAATATGGCTATAACTCAACAGATGGACGTCACATGGTGCTTTAATAACAGGGACAATTGGAACACGTGTGTAACGACAGTGGGAACAATAAGTGCTATAGCACTAGGGATGGCACAAGTGCTCAAGAAAGAATCGGACGACAGCCAGTGTGCAAATCAGAATGTCTATAATTGTTTTGAGACTCTTTATT